TTGGGCTCTGAACTCTCAAAGCTTATGTGCAGAAGGGAAACGGCTCAGCCTTCTCTATCGTTTTTCACATCTCTAATCTCTCAACAACGACGTTATCACGTCAGAAGAACATTGTGGAAAAACACATTACTCAATATTGCCCAACACAGAATCAGAGCTTCATTTTATTACATGTTGAACTTGAAAAAAATTTGGTTGACACTTGGGTAACAGTGTCCTTGTTACACGTAACATGTACTAATAACAGTAAATTATGCGCAACTAACCCTAAACCAAACCCTAATCCTAACCCTATAGTAAGTACATGTTGTTAATTAATATTACTCAGTACTTATTTGTGTAATGACACTGTAACAAAGAAACCATAAAATAAAGTAAACCGTTTTTTGCATCAAACTTGCATTAAACAGTCAGCACAAGCAATAAAATGTTTTCTCACATAGTAGATGATTGCACTCTTAAATTACGTTATATCATCTCATATCTTTAAATTTGCAATATCTTCTATATTTAAAAAAAAAAAAAAGCCTCACTGAGTTCTCTCTGTTGCATAATCATAAGGCCAGGGCCTGTCAGTTAGCATAACTCTTAATTGTGTGGGCTTGAGCTGCCCTCCCTCTTTAATGCTCAGAGCAGCAGTAGAGGCTCTTTGACTGTAACAAATCTTTGTCTTTCAGTCAGTGCCCACAGTTGCCCTCCGCAGTAAGCAGAGGCTCGACTCCCCACAGGGAGACCGAATACCACCCCATCGCTTCCATTTGCAAGCCTCATCCATACTCACTAAAGACACATGCTAAAAATATCTTATTCAGACCCCACACTCTTCCTCAACTGTGCGTGTTCACAGTCATACTGTAATGTAGAGTTATGATAAATGTGTTGTCGGAAATTAAAATCTGTACCCCTGGAGGATTCCCTCAAAAAGACGGATTTAACGTTTGCTACTAATTGCTGTCGAGAAACAAGTTGAAGAGGGAAAATTACCTTTGTAATTGATAGAGGTACTGTCTTCATAATACATTAAAGCTTCCAGAGACTTCCCTTATTCTAATTAACTTTTTTGCAAATAGCTGGGGGAAGAGATGACTATTGATGCTGCTTCGTGTTTGGAAGCTTATTATCTGCACGATGCACTGAAAATTATCCCGTTTTCTCCTACTGAAAGACTCGCGACTTCAAGACGAACAGAAAAGGTTGTTTTCATTGCTGCCATGTTAGTTTTTTTTAGTTCTGTCAGTGCTTAATTTTCATTAGTATCTCTCTGAGAGTGGAGTAAATATTTAACAAATTAGCAGTGCGATTGGCATGCGTAGAGTATTTGAAGTGAACATCATACATGGAATCACATGGGGTTAGCGGCTGAAGGATTTGATTGGGTTGTAGCCAGTTTGAGGTAACGGAGTTGAACTTCACAGAGCTTTTTAAAATTTGTTTTGTGTAGCTTTGATCACCTGCCTGCAAATGGCTTCCCACCTACTCATCTGCACTTTAAAGTGATGCTGAATTCTCTGATTGGACTCATCGCTCTTGCTCGCTTCAGTAATAGCACTGAAACTTCACTTCACACTGACAATATCAGCACCTGAAGTGCGGCTCTCCCTCTAGCTTGCAAAGGTTTAGTTAAACAGTGTAAATGCGGGCCAAATTGGGCAACGAGAGATGTTGGAATAGTGTATCAGCTGTTATGTGTTTAATGATGACTGAAGACAGACATGTGTTAAACATGCCCTCTTCTCCGTTAAGACCCCCCACTTCAATAATGTCCAATTATACAATAATACAATCTCCTGCAAATCCCCCCCGTCTTCCACAGAGGCACATCAGCTCTAGTGCATGTTTGCCAAAGGACAGCTGCAGAAATTGAATGTGCTGTAATTTCCATAACGGTAATGGTACTAATATTCTTTGCGCTCATTCTCTCTCTTCCATCTATCATTCTCTTTCTCCTGCAGGACGTGAGGAAACAGGAATGGACCGCTATCATTCCTAACTCCCAGCTCATTGTTATACCATATCCACAGAATGACCCTCGCAGGTACACACACACACACACACACACACACACACACACGTTGGACTTTTCATAGACATAATGATTTTTATACTGTTCAGACTTTACATTCTATCCTCTAACTGTAAAAGTCTTACAGAAAACACTGTGTTTTTACATTTTCCAAAAAAAAACACAATTTAGTATGATTTATAAACTGTTTTCCTCTTGGGGACCAAATTTTGTCCCCATAATGTAAAAAAATTTCAGGTTTTGCTAACCTATATTCAAGGCACGAAATTAACTTTTATGGAAAAACTTACTTGCCAGTTATGTTAACAATGCTGTAAGCAAGTTTAAAAGTAACTATTGATTAACTAATTCAATTTGTTATTATTATTCATGAAAATAGTTTACATTTATAAATAAATAAATAAATAGTTAATTAAATGATCACATTTGTACTATTATTTTTTCCTAAATGTATGGAACTGTTATGTTATTAAAATGCATATTTTTATAAACATTTTTGCAATCCATTCTCTGTTGCACGCACTCACTTAGCGCCCTCTGTTCAGTCATGATTATTTTCGCCACAAAGTTTCAATGTACACAAATAGTTCCTTCATTTACTGTTATCAGTATCTACCGAGATGCAATCTCACAGCCATCTAGTGAGAATAAACTTAAAAGCATAATAAACATGTTAACGTAATTAAAAGCAGTTCCACACTGTCACTGCATCCGTCACTAGCCTTAATCAAGACCGTGAGAAGGTATTTCCTCAGGCATTAATATTTAATGTGTTTACCAGCACAGCTGAAATGTATCTTAATGAAGCTGTCTGCCAATCTATATCATAAATATTTGAGCAGATCACTTGATTTCCCGCTATTCCCCAGAGACCCCACTCGGGCTCCTTCAGCTGCCGTTTTGCTTTTAAACAATTCACAATGATAAACAGAGCATCTCTCGTTCTATTCTCTCCAGTAAATGGAGAGCGTTCCACCTCTCACGCTCTCGCTCGCTCTCCGTCTGTTATTTAAAGCGGCTCATCTTGATGTCCTGATGTTTCGGCTTGTCAGAATGCATCAGGTCTGATTATTTAGGTTTCTCAGGTTGTTTGAATCGTCGTATTAAAGCTCGCGCATGAAGGTACGCAGTGCTAATAAGAGTGCTGTAAACTCCACAAGTCACTGTTTTGATGATCTACACAGGTTTCACTCAGTATAATGTCTTTAGGTGCTCTCTCACATTTGAATGATGTTTAAAGTTTTTACTGAACTTAAAGATGGTGCTCTAAAAAGTTTTCTTTTGTCTTTCTGTCTGTGTTTTTGCAGCTGGAGTGCAAAGCTCTACCTAACCCCCAGTAATATAGTCTTATTGACAGCGATAGCACTGATTGGCGTGTGCGTCTTTATTCTCGTCATCATCGGGATACTGCACTGGCAAGAGAAGGTGAGAACGAACATCTAATCCTTTTATTTTCAGCCTCTCTCACTCATCTTTTGCTTTCTCTGATCTGAGCCCGATTGTACATCACTCACTTCTACATTCCCTGTTTCTTCTATGAATCTGCTTGAAACACTCCAGCATCTGTCTTTCCTTCTGCAGCAAAGGATTGTGACCTCACGCAGACTCATCCCTTGGTCTTTGGTCTGCACATGTGTGTGAGGATCTGAGCAGATGGGTGTGTCTGTGTGTGGCCCTGCCCTCCGGCTCTCTCCGAGGGTGCTCCACACACACTGCTATGCTCCTAATTGCTTTGTTCTGTCCTTTCAGCATATCAAATCTGTTCCTCATTATCCCACACAACATGTCCTCCAGGGTGTTGTGTGAGAGTTTGTGCACGTGAATCCGGGAGTTTTTGTCTTTGTGTGTGGGAAGGTGATTGTTTTCTTGTACCCTGTCTGTACCTTATGAATGTGTAAATGTGTTCCTTTTAAACACACTGGATGGGTCACAAGAGTTGGCTAATCAGCTAGCTCTCCAACAACTGATTTGTGAGATTGATGAGTTTATCTTAAATTTAATTAGCATGCTGCACTTTTAGCTTTTATACAGGTTGCATGGTGTAACGCTTTCAGAAACGTTACAGCTGTACACATTCATCCTTTTAAAATAGTCCAACTTTTAAGGACCACTACGTTCTGTTCTAATCCGTTTTTAAGTGTTTTTGAGTGCAGGAACATCTTATGTAACAGTTCCCAAGAGACACATCCAATTGGGGTAAACGTGAAACCATCTTTCCTTAAAGGTGGGGTATGTATTTTTTCAAAAACGCTTTAGAAAACTGAGTCAGGCCGGGTAACAAAACGAACTTGTAGCCAATCAGCAGTAAGGGGTGTGTCTACTCATGATGCGGAGGAGAGAACGTTCAGTGCACAGGACGGACATTAGCAAGCCGAGCGACAGAAAGATAGAGATGGCGGATAAAAAACAAGAGGAAAACGTCTGCGGAACAAAAGAAGGCTTAAGGCAATAAGGCAAGAATTAGGACCCGTGTATATATCGGATCAGCTTTCCAGCGCTGGAGAGAACTCAAGGAGCGGGAAGGCCTGCGATCGGATGCCAAGGTTGCTTTGTTTCTTCTCGATAGGTGAGTAACACTGTGTCTACACCGGACGCGACAGTTTTCGCGCCGCGCAGCAACAGCTAAAGTCTATCTACACTGGACGCGACAAAGCGACCATTGAAAATCATTTGAAGTTTGTCTCAATACGTCATAAATCGAACGCAGCAGCAGTTTTCTGTCGGGGATTTGTCATGTCGTGCCAGTGTACACAGCATCACTGATTATAATGAGTTCTATAGTATTTTGTCGCGCTGCTCGCGTCCGGTGTAGACACTGTGTAACATTGGTTTTGCTTTGTTTCACAGAACTAATCGTTGCCTGGGTTGCATACGTATGTGTGGGCCGGAGCTATCAAAATAGGGGCAAGACCCTTTTGGGGTAGGGGCGTGTTTGTTTTGGTGATTTGAAATATCAACATTGGCTACCAGAAATCACTGTGTTCAGCTGTGTTCAGTTCAGCTGTGTTCAGTTGGAGTTTCCCAGAATGACCAGCAGAAAACGCCAAAATCACCTCTAAAACAGTGGATCTTTTTGACTCTCCATTTTATTACACCTTTAAAGGTTGTTTTGTCTTTTTTTAAGTAATTTTTGAGTAATTTTAAGTCATCTTGAGGCCCCCTAGTGGGCCCTGACTCCCTGGTTGAGAACTAGTTGAGAAATCCAACCAAAAGAACAAAAAAAATTTCTCCCCGTAATTTGTGTTGCTTTTTATCAATGCAAAGTTTTCACAAAACGATAAGGATTTATGTTGATATTGCCGAAAACCCTTGCCTAGGGAGTTTCCAAACTTTTGGAGGGTCCTGTGGATCTGCAAATGTATACCAAGTGATGCTCCATTGGCACTGGATGCATGTTAGAAAACAAACAAAAAAAAAAGTTAAAAAAAAAAATTATTATATACTGTCAAGGCTTGCAAATATTTGTTAAATAGCAAAATTTTTTCATTATTTTGACTCTATCCTATGCACCTGCCCGCTACCACCCAGGTGTGTGCAGGGTGTTTATTGGGACACCTGTTTTGTCTTTTTATTCTTTTAAGAATGCCTGTTTGTGTTCATGTATTCAAAGGCGTTATGGCGGTCCTGGCGGTGCAATGAGTGCACATGTGTGTGAGGAGTGAAGAGCTGTTCTGGTGTTGGCGTTCTCTCAAAGCCATCTGCTGTGGGTGCCTGATTATGCGCACTGAAAACCATAATTGCTCTCTGCTCAAGGAAGCGCCTCCCACTACACAACCTTCATTGGAGTTGACACTGCATTAAAATAACATGCTGGCTCCATATCTCTCTTTCTCAGCCCCGCAATTATAGATTTGACAAAAGGGAAGAGAGAGGCTGAAGGAAGGCCTGGAGAGGGAGTATTTTGGCTCTTTGTCTTGTCTTGATGACTGCTTGATGGAGCATGGGCTTTCCTGATGCACATGTTCAGGTGACGATTCGCATTGCTCACTTATTCAGCTATTAAAAGGTCAGGAAGCGGGCCGTTCTCCTCCGCCTGTCTGAGAGAAGCTCCGCAGCCGTTTTTCTCTGCACAACTGATGCTGTGAGCCGTGTAGGCTGCAGGTGGTCTATTATCGCATGTTGCTACATTACCAGACTGTAACACATTATCGCTCGCTTTTTCTGCAACTCTCTCCATTTATTGCAGCTTCTCGCAATCCAGATATAGCACAACTCCCCAAACGTGTTCTGCTTCTAATCATAGAGCTGCATTTGTGTAAATGTGTTTGCATGAAATTTCAGGATAAGAATGAGCGCATGCCATTGCGAAGCAGTGGAAATGTCAGTCATGTTGCACAGATCGACTTGCACACTCGTGTGACCCCTCATGAAAATGCATGTTCTCTTTGGACACAGCTTAAAACATCAGATATACAAAGCGTTTTTCTCTCTCTCTTTTTGTCTGTGCCCTCCATCTTCATTGCCCCCCATGACAGCTTGTAATTGAAGTGGCTTTAGTAGATAAGAGAGGGCAACCTGTAGTGCCTGTGAAAATAGCATTTGGAGAGGATTCAGCTCCATTTCTGCAGACTGTTCCATTTGCATCCCAGTGGAAGGGGCGTGATATTACAAGAAGATAAGACACAGTATTTCCTTTTTGCCTCCGGCTCCTCTCTTCATCCTGCTCAATGTCGCGTGAAAGACACAAAGAGAGTACTGAGGTGTTCTGTATCATTTGCATGTCTGCATGGGACAGGAACGTACCTTGTCTTCCTGCATGTAGACGTCCTCACTTAAAGAACTACCTGAAGAAATTTGTTAAGACATGATAAGGGAAAGCGGTTTTCTTTCTTTTTTTTTCTTTTTTACTACATCATCTCAATTACTCAAAAAGAACTAGAGACATACAGTTGCACCATGTGTTTTTCTTTTATAAATTGGTCGATATTGGGTATTTAATTGTGCTTTTTAATACAAAAAGCATACATTTTAATATCAGTCATTTATCAGTTAATTAAAATTAAATAAGCATTGACTTTTTTGGTATCGCCCAGAATTTTAAAGTTGCAACTGAAATCACATTTTCATAAAAACATATTTTGACACATATTTTGAAACTGATTATCAAATCAGACAGGGACTTGGTTCAGTCCAATGGTTTGTTGGATGGAGGCACAACTGAATGTGAGCTTGCAATTGATTGTAAGAAAGGGATGGGTTTATGTGGATGAAATCCAGAAGATCCAGTTATGATTAAAAATTAGAAGAACGAGATTTGAGGGTAAAACAGGCACCAGAATTTATTCAAATAAATAATGTAATATTGATCTGTTTATTGAATTATAAAAGGAGAGCATGATTTTGACATGGAAAGGTCTTTATAGAATTGCCTCACAGGCAACATGACTGTGTCTAATGCTCCTCCGTGTGGGAGACTGCGGATGTGTGTGGGTTATGTGAATGTCAGCCTGTCCGTTTCATAGATGCTGTACTATATGTTGCCATCAGTACCTGTTTTTATGTACATATATATGTTCAAGCATGTCAGCGCCTTGTGGTGTGCTTGTTGGAGAGCACACTTCAAACCCAATGTGTGGTGGAGGAATGCAAGTTACATTTCTGCAACAAAAACATAATACAGAAATGTCGGATGGAAAAAAAGAGCACGAGGAAACGGTGAACTTTCCACTTTTTTTTCCATGTGAAGTTGCATCATTAAATTGCTGGCAGCTGATCTGACAGAGACTATTACTATTACTTATAGGCTGCTGCTGGAAGAAATAAAATGGTCAGATATGCTACAACTGCAAGTCTTGCTGTTTAGTAATCCTGAGCTTGAAGGAGCGTATGGGCTATTTTTATCACTGACTATGTCATTAAGTCGAGCACTCATGACAGGGTAATCAATGAGTCTGTGACTGGCCTATGACTCACTGAACACAGTTAAATGGACCTGAAATGAGGATGAACCCGTAGATATGTATCTCACATCTTCATTTGCGCTACAACCCTCAATTATGGCAATGAAAGACGGTGAATAGTGATGTTGATGTGACTCGGCACTGTATCATGTGGAAAAATCCGACACATAGTGGTATATCTTGTGAATAGATATCATCTGGATGCTCCTGAGCAGATAGCGTAGGGCTCGACAGCGCTCAGTCAAAGCCTCAGGCTCCTTTTGCATGGTCTGTGAGATATAAAGTCCTTTTGAAAAGGAAAATAATCCCTTCTTGTATCTGTCTGGCACATTGCTTTTTTTCTTAACTGATTTGCCATTTTGCTTATGAGCGACGTGCTTTCCACAGTTACTAGGTGGAAAACGACACACCTAAAGCTAAAAATACATCCAAGTGATCCTTATGGAACAGGAGAGCCAATTCACAAGTGTTTCACAGAGGGTCCCGGTGCGTGAGTCACTTATACTAGCTGAGAATAGACATCGTTTTTGCCATCACTGAGAGAGGATAATCACTGAGCACACACACACTCCAGGCTGGGCAGTGTGTGTTATTATCAGTCTCAGGCAGCAAGTGTCTGGTGTTGGCTCTATCTTTGATTGCACACAGAGGTATTTCACCGTGGTAAAGTGTGCCATTGTGTGTGTAATGAGTTCTCTGTCTGTCTGTCTGTATGTCTCTCTCTCTCTCTCTGTGTGTCTGTTCTTTTGCTCTCCCAATGTATCAAACTCCGTTGTATTGTGTTTGCATTCAACTCACTGGCACGGTTAACGTGCGAGTCCCAGTTTCTCCGGACTGCTATCAGGACTGTGAAGTTACAGCATGTAGCAACCTTTGATTGTTTGTGTGTTACAGAAAGCAGATGACCGGGAGAAGAGACAGGAGGCCCATCGCTTCCATTTTGATGCCATGTGAGAAATTGGAGAGAGAGCATTGTGGGTAAACACTGAGAAGATCGGTTCTTCTTTCATTTCAGTGGTTTATTTATTTTCACGTTTTTTTCCACACTGGAGCATTTTATGCAATAAATAATGTCTGAAATCAGAGAACTCCATCTAAATATGAATAGTGAAATGAAGAGGAGAGTTGTGTTTCTGTCAAGTTTGTATACATGATCCTAAACGCATATTGACATTTGCACACTGAAAAGAGAGAACTGTTTGGTGCCATTTTTTTGTACTTTGGTTTGGGATAAACATGTTATTTTAAAACTCTTTCTTTATTTTTCTGTATTGTTAAAGTATATGGTAAATGTCAAGTGGGCAGAAACAAAACCGGTAATTTTCCCTTCTTGTTTGTTTTGTTTCAAGTTTTATGTCATGTGTTTTGAAGGATGTAATTAATTGTCAGCCTTTATGTCTATGAATGTGACTGAGTGATAGTTCTTTCACTTCACTGAACCTCTTTAGTCTTTACTAAATAAACGCTTTGACTTCAAGCGCTACATGAGGCCCCCTGTTAACAAAGGTGTCCTCTGCAAACTGATTTTATTAGGCATTTAGCTGTATGGGACCCAAAAAAATTAAATATGGTATTATTCTTTCACAATAAAGTATTGCTTTAACTGTCAACACTCAGTGCCAACCACATCCAAAGGATTTCACAGCGAGTTTAGTGTTTTGATTCATTAACTTGACACTGGATATCAATATTATATAGGAAGTCAAGTCCCCAATCCTAATTGCTGGTAGTCAACATAAAGCAGGTTGCTGTTGTGGTTTCTGTATGCACTATCCTCTGTTTCTAGGATATTCTAGTAATTCCCTATGTGCATGTCTTCTTTCCAATTGTAAGGCACTGTTAATCAGTTTCAAAGTGGTATTATTTATTGCTTTTACATGTTTTTAAAACACTGGAAATTAATTATGTGCTGCTGAAGAATGTTCAGTGTGAAGGGTTTTGTTCTTGGCTGTATATATCTGACACATGCTTTGATCCATGCATTGATTTATATGCAAATCTCTTTTACCTTTAAAAATGGTGTTGTTATGGTGCACTATATGCACATTAAGTGATTTCACTTTAAAAGGAAAATTCCATTGTCAAACCACAATACAGCTGCATACTAAACTCGCATATTAACTGGCATGCAATTGTTTATGGTTTTCACTCATTGTTTCTGGTCAGGTGCATATTGGTCCTAGCAGGTTGTGCATCTGTGCTCAGTTTTAATTATTAATGAATCACTCTCAATGTGTTTTTGGTTGCGTTGAAATGCTGTTTTGTCTTTTGGAATGTTGTATTGACAATAAACATGACCAAATGCTTTATTATCTGATCCGTTTGCCTCGAGTTGTTTTTGGTTGATTTGAAATTCACTTACAGTTCGGATACATCTCCAGAAGATATAGCAGATGAGTCAGAAGATACTAGCCATCGGCAATGAATTCATCACCTCTTGTACTCTGGAAAAAACCGGATTTGTATTCACAAGGTTCATACGTGCGTGGTGTTATCACTAGACAATCGTCAAATGACTTAAATGAAATCCTGACTGGGGCTGTTCAATACTCTGTGCAATGCTCTTCAATAAAGAATAAACCAATACTCTCGATGCTGCGGCCGTGGCGATTCACGTCACCTTAACTTGACCGCGCTCTCCGCGTCTTATTCTGGTGAACTGCGCATGCGTACAGGCTGCTCATTCAAGCGAGCAGCGCCCGAAGCTCAAACGAGCCTCGTTTAGTGCGATCACCTCAGTTCTCCCCGGACTCTCCGCGTCGCCTATCTGAAAGGTGATACACTGCATGATGATTTACAAAGCGCATTTCTCAACAGGATTATAAACTCAGTCATTTACAACCTGTCAGGCGGACTTGAGGTGCGTATTCTTCGTAAGGAATACAGTGGTTCTTTCCAGCTTGAGGAATGGGATTAACGAGATCGAAGAAAAGTTGGGATTTGTAGGTCTGGTAAAATGGAGAGATAAAAACTCGCCTTCACAGCTCACCAAGGTGGAAGCAGCGGTATTCACAACGAGAGGAAATGCACAGAGGTGAGTTTCAGCAAATATTGATTAATTTTGTGCCTGGCAACACAGCGTGGGTTTGTTCCTTTATGAACGTTGCTGCAACAAAGCAGCAAAACAAATACAGCTCATAGAGCAGAAATAGCAAGTTGCGGTTTTCAGGGCTAACAATCGCGTCGCCACCTACAGGTGTGCTTTTGTTCATTAGCTATATATCGCGTGTGTCAAAGGAAATCTGGCTAATTGATTTCTATTCGTTATTTGCTTCATTTTCATTACGCCGTTGGTCGTTTATATGACGGGAACTGTATTCTGTCATTGTTAGCCATCAGAAATGGTCATTTGGACGTTAAAAGCTGTATAGTCACTGGAGCACAAGGCGAGTTGCATTAGATTTCTGCAGCGTCTCGTGCAACTTCGCCGCGTGAGCGCGTGGCTTTTGCAGGCTTTTTGGCGCGAGAGTGCTGAAGTAACAGCTCCCGCGTGCCACATCTGGAGCTCGAGCTGCTGCTCCCCAGCCTTCATGACCCTCTCTACGGGTGAACCGTGACATCGAGGTTTAAGCAAATGTATATGGCGAAAGACATATTGAGATGCTCCTTTTTTCCTATTTTCTGTAGCTCCCAATTAGCTAATTAACCCAGATCTCTGCAAATAAGAAAAAATGTGGTAAGTAACAATACCACAACAATACAATAACAATACCCCCCCCAAAAAAAAAATGTGGTAACGCTTTGTATAGCAGTGTAAATGTTATACATTATAGATAATTAATTAATATAGCAACATACAAATCAATAGGCCTATCATTAATATAGCAATATAATTAATGTAGCAGACTACTAAAATAAATATATTTGCCTATATGTTGTTCACTACTATTACTTAGCGTTTGTGCAATCACAAGGCAATGTGAACACTGTCATGTAAAATGTGACCACATGCATTTATGAATTAAGGTTCACGGAGATGATAAACCTCCAAAATAAGTCATAATCTCACCAGTTATATGTTTTGGATGAATGTGCAAGATGATGGCCAAATTTCACACCAACCTAAATTAACTTCCCCTCAACCGCTCTATAACACATTTGAATTACAGCCAAATAATTGTTGATTCTTGCATTGCAATTGACTGTGACAATTAATCCAACGGTGTCTGTTTCTTATTTTTGTTTGGCTTAATTTGAGTGTGGTGGCCTTGGAGAAACTCAAACTAAAGAAGCAAAGTCAGTTTTTGTAAAGGAATGAAAGAGATATGTAGTATTTAACATCAGTATGAGTAATTAGTTTGAGGCATTTACAGATCTTGTTGATATACTACTGGGAAATTGTCACCTGTCTTTAACTTTAAATACAGTAAAGTGCCAAATGACATTACAGGCTATACAGTTCATTTACTCAGTCGAAAATAGCTAGTGAATCTCTTTGGTCAATGAAAGTTATAATAGAGTGATAACGTTTTATATAATAGGCTAAAAAGTTATAATTTTTTCCCTTCCTAATGAGATTTGTTTGGGTTTGTGTATGGACACATTGCTCAGATATATCATAACATTTTAACGCTTCATCCCATGGGGCTCAACCCAGATGTGTGTTCATTTGAAACCAGACAGCACGCAGGATAATTCATGCAGAAAATCAGATCCTGCGTGAGATCTGGAGCCACTGTTGCCATCCTCATTTTAAGGACAAAACTCGATTTAATTAAGCTACTCTAAAAACTTTTGCATTTCCATTTGCATTTAGATTCAAGTTGTGGGCTATTTAAAAAGATTTTTGTTGACCTCATATCACATAAGATAAGGATCCCCAGAGAGCTCTTCAGTTCATCTTTCATGTGTGTTTGTCTGACATCTCTTCATCTCTTCAAGACATGAAATGGTTCTGTCTTTAGCGGGAGCGGCTTTATAAGATGGAGATTGTCATCTTAGACTTTTCACTTTATTGTTAGCAAATGAATCTACACCGATGTTGTGTTATTTCAGGTCAAGCTAATCCAGATATGTCAATCATTTAGGCGTGTAGAAAGTAGTAGGACATTTTAGCAGTGCAGTCTGTTGAGGTTCAGCCCAAGCCGTTGAGGAATTTTCTTTTGGGTCACCTCAGGAGCTTTGAAACGCTGGCCATGCAGAATAAAGATATTTCCAAATGTAATTCTTTAATATCATTATTGCCATTTTTACAGTGACAGAAGGGAATTGGGCTTATCAGATTATGACTTCACGGTACATGGATATTGTCTATGTTGAATTCATCACTTCCGTTTAATTTGTAGGCCACATCCGGTGGCTTCACCGCCTTGGAAATGCTGGCAAAGCCACTAGAAGGCATGCCTGAAACCTTTAGCAAAAAAAGCGTAACGGCTAATGCTAACGCTTCCGCTTTGGCAGTACGTGGGAAGGAGACCAGAGGCCGTTTTTTTAAATGGATGTCAATGGAGGAGAGGCTTAACTGAGTTGAATAAACAGCTTTTTAGAGGAAACAACTTATCATTGAATGAATGGGGACAGCCTATCGGCTAATCTTCAACATGTTTTACACTAAACAATACTTTTGGATTTAACTATTTTTAGAGTTTACACCAAAAAAAAAAATGCCGTTTTATAAGAGAAGTCACTGACTTTTTGCGACAGGTGGGATACAGCTTACGGCACTTCTCATTTATTCCTATGGTATCCGTAAACGACTATTGAGTGTCGCACAACTCTGACTGAAATTCAGTGACGTCAAGGCTGTAATGTGATTGGTTTAATTACGCTTTCTCCAATAGTAAGTAATACAGACCCTCTCATCTTCCAATAGCAAGACAACAGCTGCATCCCAAATGACACACTATACACTATGCACTTATACACTACGTACTTATGCACTCTGTACTCAACCATGTATAGTATGAATTACATAAGGTTATTTTGTCATTCATAATCAGAGTCTGATAGCCCCTCCCACTTCGGTACGTAATTAAAGCTGCGACAATTGCGTGCATGAAGTGTCCAACATTCCACACTTAATTTTTTCGGTTATTTAAGTGCATCATCCGGGTTTTTAAAGTGCACTTTTTCCTTTTTGGAATTTTCAGTGTGTACGCACTACTCGCACTATTTATACTACAAAACGTCATAGAATAGTGCATAAGTATTTACACATCGTGTTTACCTGGTTACCATAGCAACAAATTGCTGCTTGAGACATAGATATGTATAGGTAGATTCCTCATTTGACCGCTCCAAGCACGTAGACCAGGGGTGCCCAAACTCGGTCCTGGAGGGCCGGTGTCCTGCAGAGTTTAGCTCCAACTTGCCTCAACACACCTGCCGGGAAGTTTATAGTATGCCTAGTAAGAGCTTGATTAGCTGGTTCAAGTGTGCCTAATTGGGGTTGGATCTAAACTCTGCAGGACTTCGGCCCTCCAGGACCTTGCAATGGTCAACTTGACATCACTCACCATAATAATCAATGAGTATTAGAAGATGCCACAATTCTGCGCAGTCTACGTGTAGCAAAGTCCCTTTAAGGCAAGTCATTTCACTCGGTGGCCATATTTGAAACGCCTCTCGGGCATACAAGTGCAGCTCCTATCTCTTTGAATAGGGAAACAACAAATTCTTCAAAATTCTTTGTCAAGCTTACAATTCATTTTCATATTTGAAATCACCATTGAAATCTGACAACAATTGTCTCATATATGTTGTTTCTTATGCTCCAATAGTGTAAAAAAAAAAAAAAAACTTATTTTTCAGGCTAGACCAGCCAATGCACATGCACAGTCCTGAGCGTGCGTCTCAGAACGCTGACTGTTTCTATAGCAACCGGGACTTCTAACGGCAGCTGCAGTGACGCAATGACTTCACCGATTAGCGATTGGCTCTTTTACTCAAAAGGTAGGGCTTCCTTTGATAGAGTGGCCATATTGAACATTGCATTTTCCCCCATTCAAAACTATACAAGTGACGCGTCTTGGGTATTCTATAGTCTTTGTGTATTATAGCGGCCCATAGAAACAGTCGCTAATGAGGAATCTACCTATTCATATCTATGGCTTGAGTGCTTTCCCTTAAGACAGTGTTTCTCAACCCTGGTCCTGGGCGCCCCCCAACACTGCACATTTTGTGTGTCTCCCTAATCAAACACACCTGATTCAACTCATTAGCTCATTAGAAGAAACTCCAGGACCTGAAATGGGTGTCAGATAAGGGAGACATACAAAATGAGCAGTGTTGGGGGGCGCCCAGGACCAGGGTTGAGAAACACTGCCTTAAGACAACAGTGCATTGCTATAAGTAAGCCTACTGTCATTGCTTTTATTA